CCCCCCCCCCCCCCAAAATCTTCAGTCAAATCTGAAGTCTCCATTCCTCACCCTCAAGAAAAGCCTGCCTTGTCCGAAGAGGAAATCGAAAGGAAGTGCAAATCAATCATTGATGAATTCTTGCATATTAACGATTACAAGGTAAGCGAAGTAGTGGGGGGGGGTGGCATTTTGCTTTTCTTTAACTGACGCGTATGGCCATCCAACTCGCAGTTGGGTCTCTGGGTGGTTAAATCCCATCCAAGAAACAAGAAATAAAAAGCAGGCCTGCCCTGAGTGAGGCCAGCTCACAACCGTCCGGTGTCCAACCCTTGCGGACAGGCGCATCCGCCCCGTGCCTGGGAAAGGCCAGGTCCTCACGGCCTCACATAGGCCAGCAGGGATGTTGGGCCGCGGGCACCTGGACTCTGCCCGTGAAGGTATGCCACCCCTCTTCCGTGCTGCTCTCTGGAGGGGCCTGGCGCCTAGCAGGAGGGAAAGGCCACCCTCCTCAACCCGCTCCCTCCCCGGTGTCTCCACAGGAAGCGGTGCAGTGTGTGGAAGAGCTGAATGTGCCTGGCATTCTGCCAGTGTTTGTGCAAGTTGGTGTGGAATCCACCCTGGAGAGGAGCCAGATCACCAGAGACCACATGGGTCAGCTGCTGTATCAGCTGGTGCAGTCCGAGAAGCTCAGCAAGCAGGACTTCTTCAAGGGGTGGGTGACACGCCTGAGTGCTTGGGCCGGGGCAGAAGCTGCCCCCCGCCCAGCAGGCACTTGAAGGGCTTGCCTTTCTGGCTCAGATTTGCAGACACTTTGGAGACCGCGGACGACATGGCTATCGATATCCCGCACATCTGGTTGTACCTGGCTGAATTGGTGACTCCAATGTTGAAAGAAGGAGGCATCTCTATGAGAGAGCTTGTGATGTAAGTAGGACCGCCCCTCCCTCTGCGATCCCCGTAGCTGGACCTGGGCAGGCTGGGCGGGAGAGCCGTGGCCCGTGGGGTCTCCGCCAGGCCTGAGGTGGGTTGCCGCTGGCTCTTCCTGCCGAGAGGCAATGCAGGGCCGTGGCTGCGGCTGAGGCAGCTCCAGGAGTGACCTGCACACCAAGCCTGCTGAAGGGAAGAGTCCCGTCAGAAGAAGAGTTCGGTGGCGTGGGCCCTCAGCTGCGGGGCAGCTGCTCCGAGAGGATAAAGCTGACGCTTGCTTCTTCTCTGTTTCAGAGAATTTAGTAAACCCTTACTTCCTGTGAGAAGAGCTGGTGTTCTGCTTTCCAAAATATTGCACCTTCTATGCAAACAAATGGTAAATGTGCTGGGTCGCTTGTGGATCTGTGCAAATCCCCAAAAGACCCGCGGGCTAACGGGCAAGGCGGTGAGCTTCAGGCCAGGAGTTGCCCAAACCATGTTGCCAGGAGCACGTGTTTCAAAGTTTCTTTGGCTAATGGAGAGTAGGAATCAAAGGGCAGTTGGTTCCGAAAGGAATGGAAATAATTCCCGCTCGGACTTCTGAATACTTCCAAACTGCGCCTCCGTGGCCCGGGGCAGGACGGGGTTTCTGCTCCTCCTCATTAGCGTTCCACGATGAGCGAGGCTCGAGGGGCTCTGCGGGGCTCCCTCCTCGTCTTGGGAGACGCGGTGCAGGATGGGGAGACGGGGGTGGCTGTTGCCTCGGCACTCCCAGCCAGACCCACTGCTTTGTGTTGCAGAGCCATAAGAAAGTGGCAGCCTTATGGAGGGAGGCTGGCCTCAGTTGGAAAGACTTCTTACCCGAAGAGGACGACGTCCATGCCTTTCTCCTGGAGCAGGTGAGGAGGGCCTGCTGCGTCTTCTGTCGAGGTGAAAGAAGAAAATGGGGGCAGGGATGGCGCTTGGAGCATGGCCCTGGGTGGGGAAGCGGGGCATTGCTAAGGGCAAAGTTTGGGAGGGCCCCTTGTCATGCTCTGCCTGCAGGACGGGGCGACCGCATTTCGGTCTAGGCTTGAATTTCTCGCTGTCGTTTTTGTAATGTTACAGAAGTTGGACTTCACAGAAACTGACAGTTCCAGTTCCTCAGAAGCACTTTCAAAGAAAGAACTCTCTGCTGAAGAGCTGAACAGGCAGCTGGAGAAACTCATTGTTGAGGAGGAAGCCGGCGATGAGCAGATCTTTGACTGGGTCGAGGTACAAGACTTGTTGCAAGCTGCCCTGCACCCAAATTCTTTGCACCCTGCGCCTGACGGGACCTGGCCGGGTGCCCCTTAAGAAAGGGCCCCTGTGTTCTGCCTCAGCTAGTCGGACCGTGTGGGTGGCTCAGCGAACTGAGCTGCATGGCTAGAGATTCAGACAGCTGTCGAGCACGCATGGATTCAACTGTCTGAAGTGTGCCGCCAGAGAAAAGCCCTTTAGATGCTTTGCAGAGCAGGCTTAATTCCAGCTGAATAAAGACACTGAAAGGCAGAGGGGAGTGTCAGTTCCCCTGTTGCTGCAGCCAGTTTGGTGGAAACCAGTGGGTCTTTCAGAGACCGTGCCGCCCGGCGTGCTCCTGAACTCTGGTAAATGCTCTCGATTTCAGGCTAATCTCGACGAAAGCCAGATGAGTTCACCTACATTCCTTAGAGCTTTAATGACGGCAGTTTGTAAAGCAGCTCTTATAGGTGAGTAATGGCCACAACAGAATTCGAAGGTATACAGTGTTTGGGCACTCACATGCCTGTTTTTTTAAGGGATTCGAATCGTTGGCGCCTGTTCCTTATTAAGCACAAATGTGTTTCCTGGGTATGAATTGCTCCCACAAAAGACAGTATTGTGGCCCAGGTAAGACTGGCTGCGATTCTCAGTGTCATTAGTTTATTTTATTTATTTCTTAACGTTAGAACTGTTCTCTTGTTCCATAAAATAGCGAAGGAAGTCTTTCTGTATGTTAACTTTGGATCTGATCCACAGATGATTTGGAACTAGATGTGGTTAGTGAAAGAGAAGGCGCAGCCAGGGGTTCTGTCTTGCGGCTGCTTCCATTAGGGGAAAAAAAAAGAGCAGTGATCTTCCGTTTGACCAGGGCTCGTTGGGTCCCAGGACAGTTTGGATTCCCAGCCAGCTTTTGTGCAGGGGAGTTGGGGGAGAGGGGCACTGGGCAGGGTTCTGCGGCCATCCACCTAGCTCCCCTGATCCTTGATGAGCATCTTAATCAAAAGCTTAATCAAACGTTGTGAGGAGAGGGGAACGTGACTTCTCTTTTCCTTCCATCCAGTGGATAGCTCTAGCTTGCGAGTGGATACTGCCGTTATCAAGCGGAGAGTGCCGATCTTACTCAAGTACCTAGACTCGGACACAGAGAAGGAACTACAAGCACTTTATGCACTACAGGCATCAATAGTAAAACTTGACCAACCTCCTAGTAAGTGTCCTGGGATTTAAATTAGGTTACCATAATGGTTCGACTGGGATTTATGTAAAGTGCTGCGTGAGATACCCTTGTGCTCTGCAGATGGCTCGGCCCTAGACGTGGGCAGGCCCAGAGTCGTCTTAGCCGATGTAGCGCCGCCTTCGTCTGTAGGCAGAGGTGGCGGGAGACGCCGTGGGTTTCTACCAGACGTGTTGCTTCCCTCTTCCGTTCAGATAGGGGGGCCTTGGGGCCTCCGTAACCGCTTCTTTGGCCTCCCGTTTGAGGCCTTCTACCTGCTCTTGCTGGAAGGCTTCTCCCTTGCCGGAGGGTCTGCTGGCCTGCCGCTGCCCTGCCGCTCGGCCTCCCCCCGCAGCGGCCCCACTGCGACTGGGGAGCTTCGCGATCCCTGGGTGAACTACGCTCTACGGCTCCGCCCTTCCCCAAATGCTTTTCTCTCCCACTCCTTGCAGATTTGTTACGGATGTTTTTTGACTGCCTGTACGATGAGGAGGTGATATCAGAGGATGCCTTCTACAAATGGGAAAGCAGCAAAGACCCGGCGGAACAGAACGGGAAGGGCGTAGCGCTGAAATCCGTCACCGCGTTCTTCACGTGGCTACGAGAAGCTGAAGAGGAGTCTGAGGATAATTAAAACTGAATACAAAAAAAAAAAGGAAGAAAAAAAAGAAAAGAAAAACAAACAAAAAACAATTTAAGTATTTTTTTAAAAAAAGTTTCATGTCTTCGCCAATCACAGTGCAGCAAGGCCAATTCTCGCGCAGAACCCCCTTTCCCCACGTGTGCACGAGTGGGGAGAGGGACAAAATAGTCACACACGCAAAGGCGATCATGGAGGACAGAAAGTACTTGAAAATTCAAGTCCACGCAACCCTGAGGGCAGGAGCACTAAACCAAAATACATCTATTATTTATAGAAACTATTTTCTGTTTTAATCTTTTTCATTTTTAAACAAGGACTCATACTTTAAGAAGAAACAAATCTGTTTAGACAAAAAAAATGAGAACTATAATTTATTATTTTAAGAACTGCAAATGCCAGTGTAATTTTTAAATTTGCAGTTTCTGTAACAAATTGTATAATAGACAAAAAAAGCAGAGAAATAAATTTCCCTCCCTTTCAGCTCCACCTCGGTTTTGTTTGAAAGCCCGGCAGCTCCGTCCCGGCTTCTGCGCCCCGGAGAACGGCCGGGGATCGGAGCCCCCGGAGCAGCCGCACGGCCTGTAAATACGGAGAGCGAAACTGGCTCC